TAAGAGTATATATCAGTCGCTGGGTACTTCCGAAGTATGTGGACCAAGATGGCGGACACCGAACGTAGTATGTGTACCAGGTTAGAGTTAGACCATAATTTCAGGTACAAATACTACGGGAGTCACTTGGCTGTTCCGCTAACTCGTAATAGAACTAAAATAAAGAAAGATGGGATTAAATTATGGCCTAACCCTAACCTGGAACACATACTACGTTCCAGTGTCCGCCATATTGGTTCACATACTGCGGGAGTACCAGTCGTTGCTTGTATAAGGCCGTGTTCTGAGCTAATGGGGCAAGATAAAGAGAATAAATAAATAGGATTAAACTTTAAATAGAGTGCAGGGATTACCTCGTGCAACGTATGTTGGAGAATGAATGAGTGAGATTACCTACTTATTTGGTTACGCGGCAACGGCGGTGAAAAGATAAACTGAAATGTCGTTGCTGTTATATGTTTCATATAACGTTTATACCATCAGTGTTTTTTTGCGCCCTTATTCAATTTGAATTAAAAATCCTATACTAACGCAGTATACAATATTTACAAATAAATCGATTATAATAAGTAGTTACCGATAATTCCAAATATTTCTGCCCATAGACAAAACAAATTCAATAACACTTTCAATAAAATCAAATGCCTCGATTACATTACGCCGGCCTTCCAGAATTTTAGTGCCTCATGGGAACTCTGGGCTGAAAGAAATGCCAATCAAAAATACAATGCGGGCGATCCAACGCTATAATATTTCAAAGTCGTCGTCCGTAAATTTGCTCACAGATGAGTCTTCTTTTGACTAAGTATGCGTGACTTGGTTTGAACAATTTCCATAGAAAAACGCACATTTTCTGAAAATTATGCGTTGACCAAAGGCACCATAGATTATCGTTATTATGTAAAGGTATTGAAGTAAAAATAATCATACGTTACGATATAATACAAAGCTTATACATTTGGAAAATGACACAGGAGGAAAAAGTCATCGCTGAATATTTCTTCCTTAAATATGCTGTACTGTGACTTGAGCGCTCAAGAAGTGTTCCAATATGGAGGTAACTAATTTTGTTTGGGAAGAGGGTGTATATTCACTTAGCTAACACAGACAGTCTCCGACATAGCAATAGAACCTAAATGAGGAAAATTGGAATAGATATTATGGCCTAGCCCTAACCTGGTTCCCCGTAACCGTACATTTGAACCCATGTACATTTGAACCCATGCGTATATCCACGGGTTCAATCTATATGCTGGTGCTAAAACCCATGGGTTAGGGTTAGTATGGGTTTAACTATCCGTGAAACAAAAAAAATTCCATAGGTGCAATAGCATACAGGTGCAATTGTCATGGGTTCAAATGTACGAGGGTTCAAATGTAATGGAACCCTGGTACACATACCACGGGAGTACCGTGACTTGTACTTAAAATAATTCGCTAGTCACTAAAATATACTCTTGTATAATAGCAACTTGATAATTTTCATAGACCATTAATTTTCCCAAAACGATTGAATATAAGAGTAGATTTTGGATTTAAGTCAGAAGTGTGCAACCTGCGACCCGCAATGTGGCCCACAAGAATAATTTGTGCGGCCCGCGGAGAAATGCCAATTTTGAATCGTCTGCGTCCCGTGAAACAAGTTTTTAATTCAGTTTAATCTGGTACGTGCGCGTATTTCTATCCCTTCACGCTGCAAAGCCTATATCTGATTCCAATTTATTATTTATGTCTATGACGTTACAATGCCCTTTTTGTACCTGCAACCTCTAGTAAGCCTATGTTAAATAAGGTGCGCCCGCGGTTTTACTCAGTTATTTGTATCTGGCTCTCCTGTATTAGAGGTTGCACACCCTTGTTTTAAGTAGTTAAGAGACTGCTCTGCTCGTTTATAGCCTTGTTGAGTGAAGTTATAAAATAACTTTAGTTATAGCATAAGTATATATTGAAGTTGAATGACAATCCGTAAAACTTTGGCCCTTGCAAGTGCCAAAGCAGAGATGGCCAACACGTCGATCGCGATCGACCGGATGATCGCCACGTCTCGAGTAGTCGATCGCGTCTGATATTGAGTGAATTTAATAACATGACCCCAAAAAAATTGCCTTGAACCAGTTTCACACAGCGCCTGTTGTGTGTTTTAAAAAAGGAAGAATATAGTGCTGTACATGCGCAAAATACGTTATTCGGGTATGGACAAGCCCCAAAGAGCATTATGTGACCAATGCAAGTTTCACTACTGCCAAGTTTTAGAAATGAACGTACTGAATACCATCTGTCTTGACCGACCAACGATCCTACAAGAATTTATGCACTGTGCAAAAGTTATTGTCTCACTCCAGGAGTAGTGTGATAAATTATATTCGCAACGGTAGCAGTGGCATCAGAATGCCCAATCGAACTTGAAGAAATTTGTAAATTAGTAGTTTGAAATGTATTATTTATGGCTTGAGAATATTAATTATTCGCTGTTTAGATAATACATGGATACTTTTCAAGGTTTTTTGAGGATTCGAAAACACTTACGACTAAAAAATAGACAGTCCCTAGATCTGAATTGTATGCTTAAATAAATATAAAATAATCGATAAAACATTTACTTCATTACATAATCAAATTAACAAATTGAATGGAACATAAAAAATGCAAATTTTTGTGGCAATTTCACTGAGAATACGACCGCAGAGCCGAGCTTATTGGCAGCGGTGGACATTCATTTTTGTTTATGACCTTATTACCAATCAGTCGATCGCGAGCTATTTTGAAGATTTTAGTCGACCGCGGGCGAAAGCAGCTTGGACACCCCTGTGTGCAGGGGGGGGGGGATTTGTTTCCGGAAGCATGGAATTGATGGGTTTTCGCAGGACTAACTACGTATCATGCTTTTGTGCAGGCGGATTCGTATGCATCTGTATTTTGTAACAAGAGTCCCACTTGGTATTCCCTACCATTGTACGTTTTGCATTATTAAGCATGTTGTCTGCATTCCAAAAGATTGATGAAAACTTCGGGAGCCATTCTAAACATTTTTGCTTTTGAGCATACAATTGTCAGCAGTGCCTTGCTCGGAGCGCCAATAATATTTTCCGCGAAATCGCAATACATGGCAATAACAATATTTTAGTTTACTTATGGCACACATATATATTCGAAAAGCTAACTGAAAACTCTATATTTTGCAGTTTTTGCATTTAAGCGTGCAATAGCCGCAGTGACTTGCTCGGAGCGCAAATAATATTTTCCGCGAAATCGCAAAACACGGCAATAACAATAATAAAGGTGTTATGAAACAGATATTGAGTTCAACATGGCGTCGCTCTTCATAAGCAGGCTGAAAACGACGACTGCGCTGATTTATAAAAATTACTGAGCCATTGCGGGCTGTATATACAATGCGCTTTATGTTTGGACCATCGTTGGCGAAAGATAATATTATATTCTCTTTTTGCCGGGTTGGAAAAACAACAACAACATACGGCGAGTCAGCTGGTCCATTGAGTAACGCGAGACGAAGAAATCGATCCTCCAAGCGAAGCGAAGCCGTCTTGCGTGAAATTACGTCAGGGAAGTCGAGACGGCAACAAAGAAATCGTTAAAACTGCTGATATTGTTGATTTATATGAGCTTCACATCCTTGCTTTTGCGGAAAAGGTTTCCATATTGAAAAGGTTATTTCGCAAGGCAGTTTATGATGACGGTACTCGAACATACCCTCCACAAGGAAGCGGTGAGTCTGTATGACTCATAAGCCAGCCAGCTGATTTCAGTACGACGATTTCGAAATGTTATTTCGTAATTTCGCACTGTTTCGCAACAAAGATTTAAAAGAATCGACTCGAGGGGTTGTATCTAGAATAAATAGGTCGATTGGATCGCCGGGAAATTTAGAAGTGCCTCAAGCAGCGTCGCTTATGTAAAAGATATTCGTCTGTAGATATCACGTATAGGCAGTCAATTACAGATTATTTTAAGGTGCTATTCTGTTTCTGAGCTGGTTAAGTTAGATGTTAGGCCAGAGAAATTTATAACATAACAATAAATAGGAAAAGGTGTAAAACTCTAACTAAACTCGTCTTAACCTAACCATAATTAAAAAAAAAGTATGACGAGGCGATACAGGCTAGTACCAGAATCAGTCTTTCTCGTCTTGTTGCTAAAATTTTTCGATCTCGTGTATTTGATATGATCCGTATTTTAGTGTTGAGGATTTTCATATTTATCACAACGAAAGTACATAATGTTGTTTATTCGTATAGCGAGGAGTATCGTCACGGATTAACATTGAAATGAACTTGAAATGAGCACAGCCAGGAATCGTGAGCGTATATTGGACTTTAGCAGTATAAGCCCATTCTCATCATTTGAGACCTACGGTGGCGTCAATTTATTGAATTATGCCACTCTTATAGGGATAACATTATTCGGGAAGAGTTGCTTTTGCTTCAAACAAGGCTATATAGAAAGGGTACTCCAGTAGTGTACGTACTAGGTTGGGGTTAGGGCATAATTTTATTCCGATTTATTTTTATTTTAGTTCCATTAAGAATTTGGGGGCTGTCTGTGTTAGTCCCAGGTTTCAGTCCCTTTACATAACTTGATGTAAAGGCGAACAAAATTAGTTACCTCCATATTGGTACACATACTTCTGGAGCGCCCAGAAAAACAGTCACTAATAAGTACGGCTTTCCCTTGTTTTCAAAGGGAATCAGGCTAAGCGTAGTTTGAGGTGGGAACAGGTGTTCAAACTAGAGATCCATAATCTACTGCCTACGCGGCGACTGCCAGCAAGCAATCAATTAGCCATTGCGTTCCATTCATTCAAATAAATCGATTTTATGGGAGAATTGAATTGCTATATTAAATACTTGCAAATTCTTTAGTATTGTAACATTTACCGCGGTATGTAAATATATAGTAAAACAAATTTAGCCATAAAATAGTTACATAGAAGTACGATTTGAACGAACGATTAATTCATAAATAATGCCGGACGATAATTCATGTTTTCGTTTTTTAGAATAATTAAAAGTAACATAATTATCATTGAACAATCGCACGTCCAAATCAAATATGACGTCACAAAATGAAAGTGATGAGAAGGCGATAATGCCCGATGTTGCTGTTACAATGCTGAACGACGGCGAAAAAGACGACGATGTTCTGAAAGAGTCGAAAAAATGTACGAAACTTCGAAAAAACTGGGGTTGGATCGTTGTGGCAGCGTCGTGGATTATTATGATACCGGTAGCCGGAACACTAAGCAGTTTCGGAACGATTGTCAGCTCACTCACGGAAGAGTTCAACGCAACTAAGCTAGAGACGGGATGGATTGGCTCATTAGCGTTTAGTTTCACCGTGGGTACTTGTCCTTTGAGTACCCCTTTAATAACAGTTTATGGGGGACGAAAAGTTGCACTTTTTGGCGTCATCAGCGGTGCTGGGAGCATTCTTGTGACTTCATTTATTCCTATCGTTTATTTGATGTTTTTAACCTACAGTGCCATGTTCGGTATCTCTGCAAACTTTATTTACAACTCAGCCATGAGCCTAACTGGCCAGTACTTCCAATCCAAGCATCAAGCCTTAGCAACGTGCCTTGCATCGGCTGGCATTTCATTCGGAACACTACTAATGAATCCATTTTCAGAGTATTTGGTGGGACTAATCGGATGGAGGCATACATTTCGTATTTTGTCCGGTATGATACTTCTTGTTGGACTAATTTGTGCCGCCTCGTTTAGGCCCGTCAAAACAATGGAACAAAAGCTGGTGACGAAACTTAAACACACAAAAGTGGAAGAGCGAACACAAATGTTGGAAAAGGCGCTCAGTTCACACCGCGAATTGAATAAACAATACGTCACCGAGTCTCTACAAAATTGTAACGAAAGTAGAATCAGCTTGGCAGCGCAAGAAATCAAGAAAAACGTCCTTGATACGAAAATGTATGACTGTTCGTTTTGCACCAATCCTACCTTCATATTATGGATGTTAGGAACTTTGTTTTGGAGTTTATCATTCCTATTCCCACTTATCTTTCTTATTGACTATATGAGCACTTTGGGGATCGAGACATCGCGTGGTACTTGGGTGATGACCGCGTACGGTATATCAGAATTTGTGGGAAGAATTATATGCGCTTCCGCCGCAGGCAAATTACCATTCGGACTTGCTTATGTATATGCCGGAAGCAGTGGATTAATGGGTATTGCAACATTGCTAGCGCCGCAGGGTGAAACGATTGAAATCATGTTTGTTTACGGCGTCGTCATCGGAATAAACTCAGGGATATTGAACTCTCTAATGTATGCAGCCACTATGCAAATATTTGGAAATGAACGAGGAAGACACGTATGGGGATACATCAATGTCATGTTAGCACTTGGAATGGTCGTTGGCCCCGTCACGGCTGGTGGAATTTATGACGTCACGAACTCATACACAGCGGCGTTTTACTTGGGCGGTGGTATGTTTGTCGTGAGCGCAATTACAAATCTAATACTTCCGATATCACAACGGTATTTCCCGCTAAAGGAACGCGAAGCAAATGGAAAGCGTGATGTCGAAATCCCCGAAGAAGCTAAAAACCGAATTGTGAAACCGCGCTCTTCCCTACGTTCTGCGCTGCTTTCTCGACAAATAAATCGTCAGATGAGCAAAGAAAAGAAGCCATGGAATCGTGGAGTTGCCGTCGAACTTGAAGAACTAGCCGAACTACACGAGGCCTACGAAGATGGCGTAGACAAGAACGACAATGACGTTAAATTCAGCGAAAAAGATGAAAGCTTACTACCGCCCCCATCGCCTTGAATATCACTGTAAAAAAATACTTAAAATCAACTGGAATTCCCAGTATAATAAATAACTGTAGTACGTCGAATACTGACTACATCTGAGCCACATTTGGCCTATTAACATTCGAAAGAACAATGCAAAACAATTTAATATTCCGAATTACATGGAAACGCTAGTAATTTTGCCATTTTTCTAACGAAATTGAGGATTTAACTTGGACATGCAGTGAACTACTTTTCTCTTCGTATTCACGGAAACATCCGCATCCATATATAACTTTAACTCCCATATTATATTAAATAGGTGTACACTTTGCTACAAGAGAATATTTGCTCTTTTAGTCGCGACCAGGTTCGTAACGTTCTGAAATTTATAAATGCCAAGTCAGGCCGTAACAGCTAGCAGACCCGGCCCGTTATATACTTAAATTCAACATGAATGTTGTAAAATGGCGTTTAACGTCTCCTTGCTTGAGCTGAAATCACATATTTCATTTTTTTTTACTCATAATGCGCTGTAATCCTGTGGAATTGTTCTCATCTCATGGAGCTCTCTGGTTAATAAAATCATTATTTGCCTCGTGTTTCAAAAGTATTTGCTCTTTTTTACCATTTTTTTTCAGTCTATTCAACGTTTTAAACGGCTGTACATTTGTGTGAGATTGTAACTCGTCTTTAAGAATTCTGGGCCGAGTCGATCGATATCAGGGCGCACCCGGGGGTGTGGGGACTTGCTGTTGAGGGGCGGAACCCTTCTTTTTTTGAAATCTGAAAAATACTATTTTTTCTGTATCAAACATACCAAGTTTTCGTAACTTGAAACGCTTTTTAGATCTTTAAGACTCTCAAAACCCCTCGTTTTCCGACCACGCACTAGATGTTACGGTCTAACTTCCTTGTTTGTACTACATTGGTGTCTGCTAAATCATCCTCCGCTAGCTTGTTCAGCAATATTTGCCCTTTTTTTATATTTGTGATATTTTTTCAATTTTTGCAACTGTAGATGTGTGTGAGAATACAAATTGGCTCTAAGAGTTGTGCATTGAGCTGCATTTTGTGTGAAACCAGAAATAAAATTTTCATTGAAAAATTATGATTTTGAGTCACTAATTTTTTATGAGGCGTTTTATTAAATCCTTCTAACAATTCCATTCGCTTTTATTAGAGACATATAGCTAGGAAAGCTAGTGTCTATCATGTTATTATGAAATTAAGTTCATAATGGATGTTGCAATATACCCTATTCAATGTCGAAATAGCAATTACTTCATTGTACGTCGCTTAACAATAACAATAAACCACTCTGATATATGATTACACACATTGACGTAACCGGACATTGTTATGTCGCAACGACAAGAGGGAGGGAGTCATATACGCTTATATAATATTACACGGGATTTACGCAATGCTGTGACACTAGCGCTGAAAACAGGTACTCCCGAAGTATGCGTACCAGGTTAGGCCATAATTTTATTCCGGTTCTCCTTGTTTCAGTTCTATTACGAGTTCGGGGGCCGTCTGTGTTTGCCAAGTGAATATACCTCCTGCCTATAGGCCTCAATCCCTGTACACAAATTGATGTAAAATAGGCGAACAAAATTAGTTACCTCCATATTGGTACACACACCTCAGGAAGGCCCAACAAATTGACTCCCTTGTGATGAACCTAATACAGAAAGAAACAAACTTGTATACTAGGGTTTTATTAGCTCAAACGTCGACTAAGAGTCTTAAAGCAACACAAACCAAAGAATGACTTTCAAATCAAAACACCATGCTATTAAAGGACGAACAGTATACGTCAGCAGGGTCAAATGTCGTGGCTGTTTTAGGCGTTGCTAGATTTTAAGACATAAATCATCACATCAAACTTTCCACCTCAGAGAAATGTCATACTCCATAGCCGACCTCAGCAAACGTCCAGTTAACTCGAATGAATTTGAAAGCACGCACGGTTTACTATGGCGAGGTCAGATTTCAGGTTTTACCTTAAGCCTAGGCAAACGTGTCTAGAAAACTCATTTTACATTTCTATTTATGACGTCAACTTATACGCAGCGGCTTCTTACTTGAGAGGTGGTGGTATGTTTGTCGTGAGCGCAATCACAAATCTTCTACTTCCGATACCACAGCGGTATTTCCCACTCAAGGAACGCGAGGCCAAAGGAAAGCGTGATGTCGAAATTCCAAAAGAAGTTAAAAATCGAATCGTGAAACCCCGCTCCGACCCACGCCTTCCATTCAGTGTAGCTTTCTCGACAAGAAACACATTCAATGATTGTACAAAGTCTCTGGCGCGGAAGAATCGTGGTTGGAGCACCACATACCTAGACAACTATTTCGACAACATGAGTTGAAGTTTCTCAACGACATCAGATCATCCAGTTTGTGATAAATTTGGTAGGCGAAGGCTATTCTTCCAAAAAGAGTTGCGCCTCGCGTATACAGGACTGGGTATTCCAAACATTTTCCAAATAAAATTAGAGAATTACCGCCATATGCAGCTGTGAATTTCCGTATGAGGTATTCAGTGGGGATGGGAGATAACATAAATGGTGGCAGTGGCATATCATCATAAAATGGTATCCTTGATTGCTAGTTGACAATTTGCAATAATGATTTTTCACGTTTTTTTTTGCTCTCTTGCGCCCCTGTCCAAACGGCACCCATGACACGAAATATGGCTGCCATACCCCGGATACGCACCTGATAACGGTCGCTCCAGAAGTGCGATTACCAATATGGAGATAATTACTTTTGTTCGCCTGCTTTACATCAAGTTGTAAAAAGAGACTGGAACCTATGGGGGTATATTCACTTGGCTAACATAGACAGTCGTTGAACTCGTAATAGAACTAAAAACTATTTGCGAACTATTTGTTCGCCTGCTTCACATCAAGTTGTAAAAAGAGACTGAAACCCATGGACAGGGGGTATATCCACTTGACTAACATAGACAGTTCTTGAACTCGTAATAGGACTAAAAATAAGGAAAATTATGGCCTAACCTGGTACACACACTACGACAGTACCCGCTTTTTTGCGCCCATATTCAGACAGTGCTCACGGTACGAGCCATGACTGCCACACCCTATATAATGTACAGTATATGAGTTACCAATTAAAACATGATGTTGAAAATACTTGACATCCTGCATTCTATTTGGTTTGTGTAGAATTGTAAAATACAAGTTTGACCTTGTATTTTATCCGTTACGGTTGTTACACCAAACAGTAAATGTATTCATCGATACCCGATCGAGATCAGGTGACATTTGTCAATCTAGTTTAACTGGCGGTAAAACTGTAGCCTACTCCCGTAGTGTGTATACCAAGTTAGGCCATAATTTTATTCCAATTTTTCATATTTTAGCCAAGGGAATATACCCCCTGCCCATTAGTTTTAGTCCCTTTACACAACTTGATGTAAATTGGGCGAACAAAATGAGTTCCCTCCATATTGGTACACATACTTGTGGAGCGCCGGTAAAACTTATGGATCTTTTGTACGAAACCCCCACCACTAATGCAAAAACGTCAGATTTCCAGCACAATCTGCATTCCTAGCTCTCACCCTAACTGGCTAATTAATATTTTTTTTAAGCAGATGCGGACGCTTTGTCCACGCGATTCGCAAAGTGGGTGATATCGCCGTATGTTTTCTTTAGCATAAAGTGGGTATTTAAGCCGTGAAGATCGGTAAAATATATTTTCGCTAATTCTTTCTATCTTACAAGCAGTATGTTCCCCAGCTTTTCTTTTAAGGGGGGGTTCAAAATTTAGGGGGTGGTAAATAATTTGCTATTAGAGTGAAACTAGGCTATTTGTATTCGTGAAAAAATGGTATGTATTTAAGAAACGATGTACATGGGGGGCCCCAAGTTGATTGACGGCGAGCCAAAATCCACAGCAGAATGAAATTGTAGGGCCAAAAAAGGGGAGCGAGTAAAAGTGCGGGACGACACGGCTGAGGTTCATGGCGCGCTTAAGCTCCCTGAGAAAATTTTGAGAAATAGGCATCAAAATAGGCTCTAAGCTTGATTTTAGATACACCTAGCATCGCAGTTTGTTATGTAATGAAATCAATAATTATAATATTTAGCTGATAGAATTCCCGGGAAATAGAAACAAGCACGGCTTTCAACCGTAAATATATACTACTACGTTTCAACAAGTAATTTGCTCATCTGGCATTGTATGAATGGCTACTCATGGCTTGTTTTGTTACACATTTCTAATTTTTTTGAACATGTTTGTTTGACTTTTGTATGAATTAAATTTTGAAATACGCTCGTCAACTGATCATAATGTCGCATAATGTTGTATTCTTCAGAACTGAAATATTTTGTTGGTAAGAAGACAAATCGCTGAAGTTTGATTCTTTCCAATAAAGAAATAAAAACGCTGTCATTCATCTAAAAAACGTCTGTTTTCAGTGCCTAGTTTTCGTTTTGTGACATCTTTAAGCTTTCTTAATATACGGCTGATATCTAAAATACTGCATTGTGTTATCCTAATGCCCATACGTATACATAAGATACCGAATAATTCAATTGTTACGAAATAAACGTGCTTAAACTGTGATAATGATGTAACAATAGACGGTATCTAAAACTCAAAAGGTACCACATGAGGGATTAAACTATTTCACTCAAGTTCGGCGGGCCATTTTAAATCGTCACGAGGCCCGTAATTGGCCCGCAGACTGCGGTTTAGAACCCCTCAGCGTGGAATCGCACCTCAAAATTAGGGGGGTGTTTGAAATTTTAGGGGGGGGGGGGGTCACCCCCTATAGGGGGGTGTAGGGAAATCACTGCAAATAAAATTACGGAGGAGAGAATTACGAGATGTTTAAAATTACAAAGAAGAAAACTGATATCCATTTACTTAACAATAACACGTATTTATTAAAAAAAAAAATTGCGCGATCGACTAGGTCTTATTTTCAGGCTAGACATATTTTCGGGCAAACACGGTAAATGTAGGCCTTACCATATGTCCCGTTTTAGGCGGGACAGTCCCGCTTTTTAACGTTTTGTCCCGCCGTCCCGACTTGTCAGCCAAAAGTCCCGCTTTGGCGTTCAGCCAGTCAGCATAATACACGAACATTCACAATTAGCATGTTCTCGATACTGTTATTGCTGTGTCGCGTTCTGGTAGCCTACCTACTGAAGGTAGATGCGTAGTTTTGTTTGTTTCGTTGTTTTCCGCTAACAACAATTACTACAAGTTGTTACGTCTAACTCTAAGCCATGTATGCCAAAAGGCTGCTTAACGTTAACGTATATTCATTTCTATTTTTCGAACTGAAACCGATAATTAGGCAGTCATCGCATGAACCCTCGATGACAATATGGTCGATGAAGACAGAGGGCCCTATTATAAATCGGTTTAATTAAAATTGAAAAAAATACAGCTATGGTCTTTGGAGGCGTCTCGCTGTAAGGTAACAAAACAATGGTAACCCCAGGTATATGACAAGCCTAATGTTGGCTTACCATACGTCCCGCTTTAGGCGGGACAGTCCCGCTTTTTAGCGTCTTCTCCCTTTTTAGAGATGTTATCTAAAGAGAAGCATGCTTGGGCGAATAAGTAAATTCTCAATGCTTGAAAACGAAGTCATTATTTTTTATTCCTTTTGCTGTACATAAAAAAATCTAAATTAGGATCATTTGTATCGTTAGCGTTTATTCTTTTCTATTTTTCGAACTGAACCCGATAATTAGACAGAGAATATGCGCATGAACTCTCGATGACAATATATATGGTCAATGAAGACAGCCGGGATGGCCCAAATGTAGGCCTATGTAGTAGAATCGGAAACTGTAAAGTTACAGAAGGCGTCCCGCTTTGAAGTCAAAAAAATATGGTAACCCTACCTAATGTATCTTTCTTGGGTAAAGGCTCATTTTGTGTAGCTTCAGCACAAAACTAGCAAGAACATTTTCAAATACGAATCAGAATGAATCATGCGTTCATTCACGAAATCAATCAATCAAATCGTTTTTTATTAGCCATCTCGGCAAAGCATAACAAAAATGAAAACAAGTAAGATCACAAAAATATTTGTACGAGATGGCAGGATAGCCGCGAAATG